ATCCATGGATGCTCAAGTAATAATTCGATGGTATCGGGTCATAGATTTAGGTCTAGGCCATTTTGAGTGAATTTTGGTGAAAGGTGTCGGGTAAAGGTCTTGCTTCATGGTTCTGCATATTGCAATCCAGTTTTCCCAACACCTTGCTCCAGGGGTGATTTTAGTTCCTTTGTCAAATTTAAGTGGATTGTAGAGGCTTGGATTGATTTCTGGTGTTTTTATTCTGTTTCATTGGTCTATCCATCTGTTTTTGTACCAGTACCAGGCTGTTTTGATTATAACTGCCCTGTAGTATGTCTTGAAATCTGGTATTGTGATGGCTCCGGCTTTGTTTTTGTTTTATAACATTGCTTTAGCTGTTTGGGGTTTTGTTTCCAAATGAATTTGAAAATCATTTTTTTCTATATCTGAGAAGAATATCTTTGGTATTTTGATTGGTATCACATTGAATCTGTAAATTGCTTTTAGTAGTATGGACATTTTGATGATATTGATTCTTCCAATCCATGAACATGGAAGATTTTTTTCATTTTTTTGTATCTCCTTCTATTTCTTTCTTTAATGTTTTGTAATTCTCACTGTAGAGATCTTGATATCCTGGGTTAAATTTATTCCAAGGTATTTGATTTTTTTTGGTAGCTATTGTGAGTGAGATTGATCTTAGAAGCTCTTTCTCAGCTGTGGCATTGTCTGGATATATGAAAACTGTTGACTGTTGATTTTATATCCTGCTACATTTCCAAACGCTTCTATGAGTTCCAGTAGTCTTTTAGTGGAGTCTTTTGGATCCCCTGTGTATAAGACCAGAAATCTGCAAATAAGAATAGTTTGACTTCCTCCTTCCCAATTTGTATCCCTTTGATTTCTTTTTCTTGTCTAATGGCTCTGACTAGAACTTCCAGGACTATCTTGAATAGCATTGGTGAAAGTGGGCATCCTTGTCTGGTTCCAGATCTCAGTGGGATTGCTTCAAACTTTTCCTCATTCAATAGGATGCTGGCTGTGGGTTTGTCATAAATTGCCTTGATTGTGTTGAGGAATGTTCCTTCTATTCCCAATTTGCTTAAAGTTTTCATCAAGAAAGGGTGTTGCTGAGGGCCGGTGCTGTGGCACAGTGGGTTAACGCCCTGACCTGAAGTACCCACATCTCATATGGGTGCCAGTTCGAGACCTGGCCATTCCACTTCCAATTCAGCTCTCTGCTATGGCATAGGAAAGCAGAAGATGGCCCAAGTCCGTGGGTCTCTGCACCCATGTGGGAGACCCAGGAAAAGATCCTGGCTCCTGGCTTCGGATCAGCGCAGCTCCAGCTGTTGCAGCCAGTTAGGGAGTGAACCATTGGATGGAGGACTGCTTTCTCTCTCTGCCTCTCTTCTCTCTGTGTAACTCTGACTTTCAAACAAATAATACTGCTTTTGCTGTATCCCAAAATTTTTGATATGTTGTATTGTCATCTTCATTCATTTTTAGAAATTTTTTATTTCTCTTTTGATTTCTTCAATGACCCACTGTTCAGTCGTGAGCATGTTGCTCAGTGTCCACATGTTTGCATATGTTCTGGGGCTTCCTGAGTTGTCGATTACCAACTTCATTTCATTGTGGTCAGAGAATATGCATGGTATGATTTCAATTTTTTTAAATTGGCTTATATTTGCTTTATGGCCTAGCATGCGGTTAATTCTAGAGAACATTCCGTGCACTGGTGAGAAGAATGTGTATTTTGTGGCTGTAGGGTGGAAAGCTCTGTAGAAACCTGTTAGGTCCATTTGGTCTATAGTGTCGATTGATTCTTTTGTCTCCTTGCTGATTTTCTCTCTGGTTGATCTGTCCATTGCTGAAAGTGGGTTGTGAAGTCCTCCATTACTATTGTGTCTGTGTCTCCCTTTAAATCCATTAACATTTCTTTTAAATAGCCAGATGCCCTGTGATTAGGTGCATATACATTTGTAAGTCACATCTTCCTATTGAATTGATCCCTTTATCATTATATAGTGCACTTCTTTGTCTGTTTTAACATTTTTTTGTATTAAGGTCTATTTCGTCTGATATTAGGACAGCTCCACCAGCTCTTTTTTGATTTCTGTTAGCATGGATTATCTTTTTCCATCCTTTCACTTTCAGTCTGCATGCACCTTTGTTGGTGAGATGTGTTTCTTGTAGATAGCAAATAGATTTTTTAATCCATTCAGCCAGACTGTGTCTTTTAACTGGAGAGTTGAGACCATTTACATTCAATGTGACTATTGTTAAGTAACGACTTTGCCCTGCCATATTTCTGTTAATAGTCCTATTTTTTTACTTTGAATTTCTTTTGTACTTTTGCTGGGTGATATTCTGCCTTTACCTTCTTTCATAGTGATGTTCCTATTTCTGTGTTTCTGCGTGTAGCACATCCTTGAGCATCTTTTGTTGGGCTGGGCAGGTAGTTATAAATTCTTTTAATTTCTGTTAAATTCTTTTAATTTCTGGAAGGTCCTTTTTTCACCTTCTTTCATAAGTGAGAGCTTCTCAGGGTACGGTATTCTGGGATGACAGATTTTTTTCTCTAAGGACTTGGAATATATCTTACCATTCTCCCTGCTTGTAGGGTTTCTGATAAGAAGTCTACTTTCAGTCTAATTGGGATTCTTCAGAATGTCATCTAGCATTTCTCTTGTGCACATTTTAGAATCTTTTCTTTATGTTTTACTGTGGAGAGTTTTACTACAGTGCATAGTCCTGAAGATCTTTTCTGGTCATGTCTTTTGGGAGTTCTATGTGCTTCCTGTACTTGGATGTCTCTTTCTTTCTCTAGATTGGGAAGTTTTCTGTTATTATTTCATTAAAAATGCCTTCTAATCCTATCTCTTTTTCCATGCCTTCAGGAACTCCTAGGGCCCATATGTTGGGTCATTTGATAGTATCTTGTAGATCTCCAATAGTGTTTTTTTGTTTGTTTGTTTTGTTTTTGTGTGTGTGTGTGTGTGTGTGGTTTTTTTTTTTTATTTTGTTTTGTTTTGTTTTGTTTTTTACAGGCAGAGTGGACAGTGAGAGAGAGAGGAGAGAAAGGTCTTCCTTTGCCGTTGGTTCACCCTCCAATGGCCGCTGTGGCCGGCACACCACACTGATCCGAAGGCAGGAGCCAGGTGCTTCTCCTGGTCTCCCATGGGGTGCAGGGCCCAAGCACTTGGGCCATCCTCCACTGCACTCCCGGGCCACAGCAGAGAGCTGGCCTGGAAGAGGGGCAACCGGGACAGAATCCAGTGCCCCGACCGGGACTAGAACCCGGTGTGCTGACGCCGCTAGGCGGAGGATTAGCCTGTTGAGCTCCGGCGCTGGCCGCCAATAGTGTTTTTTAGTTTTCTAATTTCTTCTTCTTTTTTTTAATCTGACTGTAAAATTTCCAGAAATTTGTCTTCTAGTTCTTTTTGTTCTTTCTTCTGTCTCACTCTGTTGTTAAGACTTTTTTATTTAATCTATTGATTTCTTCACTTCTAGTATTTCATTCTGATTTCTCTTTAATATCTCAATTTCATGGGAAAAATTTTCATTTACTTTGTGAATTTGCCTCTGGTTGCTTCTAAGTAATCTGATGATTGACTTTTTCTAAATTACATTTCTGGCATATACTGAATTTCTTCATCTTTGCCTTCTACTATTGAAGTGTTGAAGAGTTCCTTTGGGGGGGCTCATATTTTCTCCCTTATTCTTATTTAAGTTTCTTCCTTTGTTTTTTGCCATCTGGGGGGAGTCTGGTTGCTTTTATCTTTGTTTTGTGTCTTTGTGACTTAGTGGGGCATCTATACTTTCAGTGAGTACTAAAAGGTGTGTACTGGGTGTGGCCTGGTTGCTTTGTTCAGTTTTCCAGGGTGGAGCAAGTATCCAAGGTAAGGCCCCCTTAGGGCTTTGTAGCTCTCCTCTGGTTATCTGGATGGAGGAGGGCATTCACCTGTGTTGGTATGACCTACCCTACTCATAGCTGTGGTACACCCTGGTGTTAGTCTCTGGTGTTTTCAAGCACTAATTCACACTATTTAATGAACTGCACCTTGCAGAGTTCCCTCTGTTATGAGCTGCTGTAGGTCTGTGGGTCTTGGGCATGTGTGCAGAGCCCCTGCCTACTGGAGCCTGGCTCACTTCTCATGGATGTGGGTGGGTCCTAGCTTTCAATAGACAGGGCTTCACCTTGCCATATAGCTTGCACGGAGGGGAAATGAATTCTGAATTATTGTGTCCCTCACTGTTTGGGTTGGAGGTGACACAACCCCTGCTATTGCTGGGTGCACACATGGGAGATGGGGCAGCAGCCACCTGCCTGCATCCAAAAACAGATTAAAAAAAAAAAAACAAAACAAAACAAAACAAAAAACAAAAAACAAAGGAGCAGAATGGCTTCTCCTGGCCAGATGCCAGTCCCTGCAAGGTGGGGAGATGGGGAGGGAGGTGCACCACCTCCCTATTTGTTCATTTATGTTTTTCCCCAGCATGGAACTTCACAAGCAGTTTGTCAAGCACTCCCTCCCGCTGCTATCCTCAGCTCCATCGACGCATGGATTCCCCTCACCTGGCACACCTGTGCTGGTTTTTTTTTTTTTTTTTTTCCTCTTATTTGCTCTTTGGCGCAGACCTGGACCATCTCTGCTGCTCTCGCTAGGTTTCCCATTGCAAATTCTCCATGGCTTTATCTCAGACATGTAGTTTCTATCTTTCTTAAATATTAATTTTGCCCCGTGTGATTCGGACTGTCCTGTCTTCCGCCATCTTGGAACTCTCCCCCATAAACTACTTTAAAAGATGAGGTAGCTTAAGTTCAGACCTAAAGAAACAGAGTTTTACAGAGTCAGTGTCAGAACTGCAAGACACTGTACATACACCACGCTACCTCCATCTTAGCCTCTCTCAAACTCACAGTCATGTTTCCAACTAACATGGAATGTGGAGATGCTCAATGATATGTCAGTGTACAAACCTACATTCAGATTTGATTAACAAAACTCAAATGTTTTGTTTCTTTATATTAGGACCACTTGGTTTTACGTGGATTAAACATTATTGTACATATGATAAGGGAAGTAAAACATTTACAATGAGTGTTTCAGAAATGAAATCCAGTGGGAAAATGGTGAGTGAGATTTATTTTTGTTTGTTTTAAACTGTTTATTGCTAAAGTAATGAAAGAAAAGCAAAAAAAAAATACATACTATTCCTTTTCTGATAAGATGTACACATTTATAAGTTGGAAGTCAAAGTGTTTCTTCTTTCAGTAACCTTGATGTCTTAAAAGAAAAAAAGTGACCGGGATTTTCCATTAACTTGGCCCTGAAATGTTTATAAGCAGTTGAGTTAAATATAGGGATCCTCCTGTAGATTCCTGAAGTGTCATCTTTCAGCCCTGACAGAAGAGTTATTTGTCTGTGCTGTTGTTGGCTAGCAGCCCAGAAAGGAAGGGGCTGTCGAGGGCCGGACCAGGCTCTGGGATCTTGCATCTTTCCCTCGGGTGGCCTCTGTATGAAGCTACATTTTCCCCTGCGTGCCCTTACCTCTTTTGTTCTGTGTACTGTAAATCAAAATACTGGCCGGCAAGATGTGTTAGAAGAAACTAAATGATGCTCATTTAGCCCAAAAATGAATTGATCACTGGATGTCTTACATGGCTAGAGAACAGCATAGAGCAGTGTGCTTCACATGGGGAAATGCTGCAGAGCACTTTGCTGCGTGTCCTGTATATTCATTCTGCAGGTTAAGTTAGGGCTGTGGCAAATGATTGAATTTGTAAATTGGGTAATTAAACCATGACCTGAAAATGTTGGAGTTACCTATTCTCCTAAAGATAATTTAGTCCCTCCTTGTTTCAAGATCAGCATGTAAGTTTGTAGAAAGTAAGTGACTCACACACACAGTTAATTTGTTGTATATATCATGGCAGAAGAAAATGTTGATCTAACTTAGACACATACTCATATATATCAACTAAAACTTACTGTGCTTTGGCAGTCATCAAAGTCTAATGATTCAAACTGACAAACAGGAAATAAAACATGCCAGAGAAAAAGAAACCTTAAGTTGCTACATCATAAGGAGGTATTAAGTGCCATAAATACACATGTTTGATGTCTATAGTAGATAATACCAGAAATGCAAATTATGTGATAGTGAGTTAATAAATAGGCCAAGCCAAAGTTCTCTCAATAAATCTATGAAATTTGCAACCAAAGACAGAATTAACCAGACAGTGAGTAAACTGTCCCCCTAAAATAAGCATCTCAGATGTAGAAGAGAAATCCTTATGAATTGCAACATGCTGGATTCTTTCCCAAGAGTTCTAGTTTTGGTAGAGGAGTACAAGGAGCAGTTGGTTATCAGTAAAGCAGTCAGACAGTATGTGTGATAGCAGTGGCATAATAGCAAGTATTTACTAGAACTTTATTATCTTGGAAGCTCTCTTGTGACCTTCAGTTAGCTATCATTTAATAATAAATGACTCTAACACAAAGATACAGACAATAGTACTAATCCCTTAGCAATCCAGGGGATTTTAACAGCCACAGTGTTATGACCTCACAACTATTCTGATTGTGATATTACAGCAACTGTATAATTTCATACCTTTTCTAAATCAGAAATCCTAAATGGAGCTTACATTATTGGGTAATTTAACATGAAGGGTAAATTTTTTTTTTTTTTTTTGACAGGCAGATTTAGACAGAGAGAGAGACAGAGAGAAAGGTCTTCCTTTCCATTGGTTCACCCCCCAAATGGCCGCTACGGCCGGCTCACTGCACCGATCCGAAGCCAGGAGCCAGGTGCTTCCTCCTGGTCTCCCATGTGGCTACAGGGCCCAAGCACTTGGGCCATCCTCCACTGCCTTCCCGGGTTACAGCAGAGAGCTGGACTGGAAGAGGAGCAACCAGGACAGAATCTGGTGCCCCAACCGGGACTAGAACACAGGGTGCTGGTGCCACAGGCGGAGGATTAGCCAAGTGAGTCGCAGTGCTGGCCATGGGTAAATATGTTGAAAGGTGACAGGCTTGTCACAAAATTTGATGAAATAAGATATTTGTGCAATTCATTTATTAATAAGTGGCTTCTCATATTAGAGTTGGACAGCTACCATTAGATGAAAAGAAGGACACAGTATGATTAAGACCTTAATACATAAACTGTACTCTTAGCATTTTAAGGAAGCAAAATTTAGATCATGTGTTTAATATTTCTCAATTTACTTGTCATTATGTTAATAATGTGGTGTGCTTCTTGTTTCAGAACGGCCTTGTTACTAGCTCACCGGAAATGTTTAAGTTAAAATCTTGTATCCGACGAAAGACAGATTCAATTGACAAACGATTTTGCTTTGACATAGAAGTGGTTGAAAGGTTTGAGTGTTTCTTTTCACTTTATATTTTTAAATAAGTTAAAGTATTTTTGTGTCTTTCAATGCTTACATACAAACAAAGCAGACTATATTTGTACTTTTCAGTCTTCTGTAAAAGAGTACATGTTTATTGCATTCTTACAAATATTTATTTACTACATAATACTTTCAAAAAAACTGAATGCAGGATGCTAGAAAAAAATAACATCACACCAATAAGAATGTGCAAAATCAATATAAATGACGGTATTAGAAGAAAGTGTATGTAAGTAGACTTGAGGTGCCTATCACAGTGAAGGAACCTGACTTTCAGGTCAGCCTGTCTGTGGTCTGTTGAAGCCTAGTGTCTTTGCTTCCATGGACACATTAGCTTCTGTGTGTGTGTTTGTGTGTGTGTATACATATATATAAATCTTTGTTTTTAATAGGCATGGGATCATCACATTACAGGCCTTCTCAGAAGCTAACAGAAAACTTTGGCTTGAAGCCATGGATGGGAAGGAACCGGTAAGAAGATGACACATTCTATAATTTAAGTTTTATTGTTCTGGTAATTTAAAAGTACATCTGAAGTTTTCCTCATATGTCTGTAGTGTAATTGGAAATATTAAAATAGCAAATCAGAGGAGTAGAGACTTTTACTGCTTTCCTAGCATTATCTCAGTCTCTGGCACATCTTTCCAGCTTCCTAATTTGTTTCTTTGGGGGACTTCCAGGACTAATTTAAAACCCTAAAATTACTTTTTAGAAAATGACTTATAATCATTAATTTGGCTACAGTCATTATGTTATTTTATATTACTGATAATTACAGTGTGTCCAATCCTTGCAAGGCCCGTGCTGGCATTTTCATCAATGATGAACAAGGTTCATGGTAAAAAGTCTGATTTGATAAAACTACCTGTGGCTTGACACCATGCCTGTCCCCAATTTTCTCATGGTTACTTTGGTATTATGTGATGTGAATTTACTTAGAAATAACAGGGAGGCTAAAGAGAGTGAATCCTTCCCCACTGTTTGTTTTCTCAGTGAACAGTGTTACTAGGTTGGTAGAGGGGTAAGTACTCAGAGTAAATAGTCACTAGAGAAGCATCCTGTAGATGACAAAGGGTTGTGGAGCGCCTTAAGCAAAGTACCCTGCAACAGCGGAGCTCTACTAGCGAGCTCTGTGGACTTCAAGGCCCTGTCTCCAACTGCATTACCTGTCCACCTAAGATAAGTTCCAAAATGATGATGAAGCCTTGAAAAAATTGTCTATCTATCTGAAGTCATTTTAAGTCTAGTTGAGTTCGATAATGAACAAATTGGGGCTTTGCTTTTATAGTTTGTTGTTTTCTATTTCAACTTTATTATACAATGATAGTTCAGACAGTTCATGGAAAAATAGCATTAAAAGATAATGGCCATTTTCCATGAACTTTTTTTTTTTTTTACAAAATGTCAATCAATGATAGATTTACCAAGAAATTTGGCTCTTCAACATGAATTGTTGTAAAGCCCTGACCCAGTGCAAATTAGGTGCATGTTTTGTCAGCTCAGCGATGCACACGTTAGTATTGTACACATTGAGAACAAAGCACTAAGCAGATAATTTAAGGAAGGAGCAGTCAGGTAAAATCCATTGTGAGACACTTCCTGAGGAAGAGATGTTGTGCTTCGTGTTGGGGAAGAGAATGAACTGCACGATTCAGATGGAAGGGGGTTGAACTCCGTCCAGGGTAGGACAGCCAGGGATGCAGGGGAGTGGGAGGCAGGGCTGGTTTCACCACAGGGAAAAGTCCGTTGATAGGGTAGATGGATGGTGCTGTGGACATAGCAACTACAGGGCCTTGATGCCAAGACATTCCCTTTGTGTGTGAATGTACAAGCATCATTGCCAACCTTCTGTGCTGGGTCATTAACTTCAAGTAACTCATTGGCATCCTTTGTTTTTTTAGATTTATACCCTGCCTGCCATTATTAGCAAGAAAGAAGAAAGTAAGTCTTTTTAATAATTATATAAAATTATATCAGTTATTTTTATCACAAGCATTTTGTTTTATTAAGTATTAACTCAGGTAAAAATGGTACTAGCGCACCATGGATCTGATGGAACAACAAAGTTGAAATCTTTAATCAAGGAACTTTCTCATGTTAAAACCATAAACTACTGGTCTTATGGTAATCAAAAGTAATTTTTATTTCTTTGCTGTCTGTTTATTTATACACCATGTCCTACAGTTTATGATAAGGATCTGAGGCAGTTGATACTCAGCAAAAGAGGAATTCTGTGTCTCATTTCCTCCCCCTTAGTTTTCTCAGAAAAGAGGGAAGACCTGGATGCTTTCTGCTGGTTTTAAGAGATAGTATCTGGGGGCCAGCTCTGTGGTGCAGTAGGTTAATCCTCTGCCTGTGGCACCAGCATTCCATATGGGCGCCGGTTCTAGTCCTGGCTTCTCCTCTTCCCATCCAGCTCTGCTATGGCCTGGGAAAGCAGTGGAAGATGGCCCAAGTTCTTGGGCCCCTGCACCCACATGAGAGACCTGGAGGAAGCTCCTGGCTCCTGGCTTCAGATCAGTGCAGCTCTGGCCGTTGTGGCCATTTGGGGAGTGAACCAATGGAAGGAAGACATTTCTCTATGTCTCTCCCTCTCATTGTCTGTAATTCTAACTCTCAAAATAAATACAATATTTTTAAAAAAGAGAGAGAGATAGTATCTGGGAGCTGGCGCTTTGGCGCAGCAGGTTAATGCACTGGCTTGAAGTGCCGGCATCCCATATGCATGCCAGTTCAAAACCCAGCTGCTCCACTTCCAATCCAGCTCTCTGCTATGGCCTGGGAAAGCAGTAGAAGATGGCCCAAGTCCTTGGGCCCCTGCACCCAAATGGGAGACCCAGAGGAAGCTCCTGCCTCCTGGCTTTGGATCGGCACAGCTCTGGCCATTGCAGCCAATTGGGTAGTGACCCAGCAGATGGAAGACCTCTCTCTCTCTCTCTCTTTCTCTCTGTCTGTGTAACTCTGACTTACAAATAAATAAATAAATCTTTAAAAAAAAAGAGAGAGATCGTATCTGGTATGTGCAGGAAAGCATGTTTTCACTGCATTATGACTGAATCCTTGGCATCAAACCATCTTTATAGACACATTTCTGTGTTTATTATCATGTTCAAATGAGCCCTCTTTAATAATCTGCAACCTTTTTGTCTTTTTTTTTTATTTGGGTTTGTTTAGCATATTTTCTCCATGTTTTTAAAGATTTTAGTTCCAAATCAATTCCACTATGAAGCTCTCAGACTTCTTAAGTCCTTTTAAATTTTGTTCATTTTTGTTTATTTGAAAGGCAGAGACAACAGACATAGAGATCTTCCATTTGATATTTCTTTTTTTTAAGATTTATTTCTTTATTTGAAAGTCAGAGTTACACAGAGAGAAGAGAGGCAGAGAGAGAGAGAGAGAGAGAGATCTTCCATCTGATAGTTCACTCTCCAATTGGCCACCATGGCTGGAGCTGTGCTGATCTGAAGCCAGGAGCTTCTTCCGGGTCTCTCACGCAGGTACAGGGGCCCAAGGACTTGGGCCATCCTCCATTGCTTTCCTAGGCCATAGCAGAGAGCTGGATCGGAAGTGGAGCAGCCAGGTCTCAAACTGGTGCCCATATGGGATGACGGCGCTTCAGGCCAAGGTGTTAACCCATTGCACCACAGTGCTGACCCCCATCTGCTGTTTCAATGCTTGCCTCCCCCAATCCCCAAATGCCCACAACAGCTGGGGTTGAGCAGGGCTGAAGGCTGGAGAACTTCACCTGAGTCTCAAGCATGAGTGGCAGGTACCCAAGGACTTGAGTCATCACCTGCTGCCTCACAGGGTGCACATTAGCCAGAAACTGGAATCAGAAGTAGAGTCACGATCAAGCCTAGGCACTCTGATGTGAGATGTGGGCATCCCAGGTGTCATCTTAAAAAAAAAAAAAAAAAAGGCTTATTTATTTTTTATTTATTTAAAAGTCAGGGTTGTAGAGTGAGAGGGAGAGACAGAGAAAGAGTTCTTCTATTTGCTGGTTCACTCTCCAGATGACCTCAATGACCAGGGCTGGGTCAAGCTGAAGCCAGGAGCTAGGAGCTTCTTCCAGTCCTACCACGCGACTCACAGGGGCCCAAATACTTGGGCCATCTTCCTCTGCTTTTTGGAGGCCATTAGCAGGGAGGTAGGTGGAGCAGCCAGGACTTGAACCATTGCCAATATGGGATGCTGGCATTTTAGGCAGAGGCTTTACCTACAATGCCACAATGCCAGCCCATGAAGTGGTGTCTTAAACTCTGCATCAGACACCTGCCCTCCTCTGAAGTTGAATAAGCTCTTAATGCTGTGCACTTACAGCTGTTTATGTCTGTCTGTTCTCCAACCCCCATATCACTTTTCTGAACATTCTCCTGATTTTCAGATCTTATGTCTTTTTATATTTTTTGACTTTGGGTGACTCCAAGTAGTGCTCTTATATCAATTTAAGAATGTAACTTCTCTCACAATTGGTATTTAAAAACAATACTAGCTTTGATTCATTTATCGCCTTGAGAGTTGCTCCCTTACAGACAAAATAATTCAAATAAATTCAGTTCATCCTAAAATATTCTTGTCATCCTTTGGAAACTCCATTTTGCATGGTTTGTATCTGTGTTTTTTTAATTGCTGCAGATAATAGTGAAGTCGAAGATGGTAAAATATACAACTCATGTAAACATTTGTTTTGAATGATCCTTATGACAAGCAGTCATAATGTTCGTGCTTTCACTGAAAACTCTGGAAGCAACAGAGGAACTGTGCATACAGTGCCTTAAAGCAGGCTTATATTGTAAACAGACTGAGAACATCAATCAGGTGTAGCCTAACCAGAAACTCTCCCAACTCTGTGATTATTATTCATTTACCATTTTCAGAGTATAGATGCTATACTTCTGTAATTAAACAGGGAAAGAAAACTTTAATTACTTTTATAAAAAAACATTAAGGAAAAAGTATTGGGCATTTATAGGATATTGAATGCACAGATATATTTATAGTTGTCAAATATGCCACAATATATTTTTTATTAAAATTCTTCAGACTTCCGGAATTAATTCACTTTGAGAATAGTAATGTCCATCATCAAAATTGAACAGATGCCCGTCAGTTAAACCTAGAACCAAACTAGTACTCAAGTCATGCCATTGATGATATTTTGTTTAAAAATAGCTGATTGAGAGCTGGCGCTGTGGGGTAATAGATTAAGCCACTGCCTGCAGTGCCTGTTTCCCCTGTGGGCACCCATTGAAGTCCCAGCTGCTCCACTTCCGATTCAGCTCCTTGCTTATGCACCTGGGAAAGCAGCAAATGATGGCCCAAATACTTGGCCCCTGCACCCAGGTGAGAGACCCAGATGAAGCTCCTGGCTCCTAGCTGTTTTGGCCATTTGGGGAATGAACCAGCAGATGGAAGCTTGCTCGCTTACTCTCTCTCTCTATCTCTATCTATGTCTCTCCCCCTCTTTCTGTAACAAAGAGAATCATGGATTTAAGCCTCCCCTGTGATACCGGCAGGAAAACTGGTAAGATGAGTCCAGGTTTGTTCCCAGTGTCAGTGACAATTTATGAGACTGGATACACAGTAAGAGTAGAACTGAAGGTCTAAGAAAAAGAAAGATTGAACAAATAGAGGGGCTGGTAGAAAAAGAGACCAAGGGGGTGGGGCTCACAGTCTTTGTATGTCTTTACCACTTTATCTCCAAGGAACAAAGGTGGTGGTTATACATTAGTTACTGTGAAGGCCAGTGCCGTCATAATGGAGCCCTTTCTAGCTTGCTTTTATCTAAAGCTAGATCTTATCATTGTTGACAAGTATCCCTCCCTCCCTCTCCCACCTCTCCCTCTCTCTCTCTCCAACCCCTCTCCTCTCCCACCTAACTCTCCACCCCTCTCTAACTCTACTTTTAAAATAAATAAATCTTATAAATAAAAAGCTCACCAGTTGTTCTTCATAACTCTATTATTTGAACTAATCTTTCAAGGAAACAAGTCATCTTTCTTGACCTAAGTTTCCTGTGCCAAGACCTCATCTTAGGACTAGTCATTAAGAAGGGCTAAAAGCAGTTAGCTTCTCGTAGGCTTTCCTCCTCTGACATTCTTTGTTGGTGCCCTGAGCCTTTGCCCCATTCAAGTGCAAGTTTTGTGTGATGGTTCCCTAGTGGTTCTTCAGCCCTGAGTCTTGACAAAAATAAGAACTGTGAAAGAAATGGCGCTTAGATCTCATTCTCCCCAGTAGTCTGTTCAACAGTATTCTATTGTGTACCTACTTGAAGTCAGGTGTTGTGAATAAAACAAAAAAGTCTTTTTCTATTGATATTTCTCCCAGTAAAAGTCACTGTTTAATCCTGTAATGGTAAAGTCACATAAATTCAGTCCATGTTGTAACAAGGAAGGAATTAGAGAAGAGAGTCTTGAAGTTTTCCAATGACTATGAATTTTTGCCATTAAGTGTTTTAGTAACTCTCTATATGCCTAGGAGATATTTTATCCCCAACAATAAACAAAAGTATTGATCTTGTGGCTGGAGTTGTGGCAAATCAGGTTAATCTACTGCCTGCAACACCAGCATCCTATATGGGCACCAGCTGAAGTCCTGACTGCTCCACTTCCAATCCAGTTTCCTGCTAATGCACCTGGGAAAACAGCAGAAGATGGCCCAAGTTCCATGTCACATGGGAGACCCAAATGGAAATCCAGGCTCCTAGCCTTGTCCTGGCTGTGGTAGCTCTTTGGGGAGTGAACCAGTGAATGGAAGATTCTCATATTCTAATTCATATTCATTCATTCTCTCTCTCTCTCTCTCTCTCTCTCTCAATTCTGCCTTTCAAATAACTAAGTAAATAAGTTTTATAAAGGATTAATCCCATAATTACCTGCGGTAGTTGCCATCTGTCACCAGTGCTCTTGAACTTCATACTGCTGTTAGGTGGCTGAGTTCTGCAAGTTGTTAGATGTCCCTAGGTCGCATCCTCCTCTTTCACCACCTTCCTTGACACCTTTGATCAGGTACAATTTTATTTCCATTGCAGAGACCCGGAAAGAGGCTAATAGTTCAAGTGGCCTTCAGGAAAGAGCAGGATGAAAGAATAATGTGGGCTGAGGTAGTAGAGAATTAACTTCTCCTCCTAAAGAGAGAGACTAGGCCCAGTGGCATCATGAGTACTTGTAAATGTACTGTTTTCTTTTTCTAATTCCTTCAAGATGATATAGTATGATGTTAGCTGTCTGTGTCTTTTAATCTAAAATAGGAGCTGAGAAAAGTGAATAAGAAATTAAAGACAAGTGTTGCCTTGTTTTGTCAACCCTGAGAATATACTGTAAGGTCAAGTAGATTACATCTGGAAGTACACACTAGGTTTTGACTGAGCAGGAAATTTGAAGTACAAGGACTTTTGCTCTGTTCTGTTGAGGATGATTCTTTTTCTTTGTATTCTGTTGTGAGTCATAGCTTTTGTGTTGTTGAACTACCTTATCGAAACTTTATTTGTATTTCAATAAAAGCCCTGAACATTTTCAGGGGAGAAAGTAATGTTTACACTTAACTTTTGACTGAAGAAGTTAAGTTCATTAAGTTAGTCTGTCTTCTACTTCTATCCTAAAGGCCAAGTATCATTAATATTATAGAATTTCTGTTTATAGCAATTTGATTCTAGTTATACTCTGAATATTCCTGCAATCTCCTCTAAATCAGGCCAATATAAGGTTGGGGAGGGATTGGGACTGAGGAAGAATTGGCCAAAGGAGCTCATGTTACCTGATAAACTGGAACCCTTGTGGAAACCATCAGAGAAAAGCACTCGGGCAAGCTGGTACAAACAAATACCTAGCAAGCTAGCCTGTTGTATGCCACCCATTGAACCCTGACTCAGTCCATATTGTGGGATGGTGTTGTCTTGTCTATACTGTGGCAGCAGGAGTATGTTGTCTTCTACTAAAAGGAGCATTATAGTAAATTATCCATTTTTTAAATTGTACAGTTTGATATGGTAAAAAAAAAAAAACCTTTACATTGAAATTTGATTTGGATGCTAAGGAGTTACCAATTTTTCTATTGTTTAGGTATGGAAAACCTACTTTAACTGAATTCTCACCCATACTGACATATTTAGTGTGGTAACTCTTTCATGATTTTGGAAAATTTCTCATTTTCCATATAGAATGTGATTGCCCCTTACTTCCCTCAGGGAAATAACAGTCCTTGTGACCACATCAAGTCAAGTCATTGTGGAAGACAAACTATTTAAATCAAAATGTCCTTTTCTGCTCAGACCATAGCAGTGACATTTGGGTGCTCACGTGAAGGCACCATCAAACAGTGCATCACACAGCCACCATGGAACAGTACTGCAAGTATTGCTCTTTACTGATTGTACTATGTGAATTTACAAGTCACTAATCAAAGAAGGGATATAGTCTAGTTAGGAGGGAAAAATTGATTGTGTGGGATTGGCTGTATTTCAGCAAGTCCTCTTTCTCATAGCAAATTCTTTAGGTTTTATAAAACAGAACTGGCCAGGTTATGCTGTGGTAACAAATGATCCTCAGATCTTAATGGCTTCATTTTTAGTTCATGTCCATTTAGGTCAGCAGAACTTGGTAATCAGACTGACTGTCTATAAAGTTTTATTCTTAATAACCAACCAGTGATAGGGTCTATTAGGATAGACTAAGGTATTACGGCCTATATTCTACTATGCTTTTGAGATGTAATCTGGCTATTGCTTATTTTTCTCAAAATGAATGTTTCAGAAAGCAACTCTGTATATGTAGTACAACCGTTTTCATTCATTGTGCCAAAGGCAGGCTATTTTAAAATATTTTTCAGTGGTTTTGTCCTCTTCTTAATAAATCTGTTTTATTGAAAAACCTGAACAATGTGACCTCAACTACCAAGCATTTTAAATGTCAGGAACTTTAAGTTTTAATTGGTACAAAAAATTCTAGTGTCTTGTTTTTACTCAGGGTTACATTTTTTTCCTCTGTTTCTGCCATTATTAAAAATGAAAATTAATAAGTGATTCCTCCCATTTCTTATATTTAATAAAAATTTTAAAATACTTGCCTGGCATCTTAGGTACTGGAAGCAGGCAGTTCTTTTGGGTGTTTAGAAGGAGCTCCCCTCTCATGTCAGTCAGCAGGTGCACGCCAAGGAGATGCTCATTCAAAGGCCATGACTCAGCTCATTCACTGAGTCCTGTTCTCTTGACCTAGGGCACTGGGGACAAAGAAGTAACCGAGCCAGTTCCTGTTTATGGCGATGCCTATTTGAGTTTCAGCATTTTGTCTTCTAGATACTTTTTAAAGTCCTCTCTCTCCCTCCCTCTGTGTGTATGTCTGTATATACCTATATATAGTATATATGTAGTTAATTATTAAATACATTTAACTAAGCTGTGGTGAATACAGTGATAGAATCTACATTCTGACCTCTTCTTTCTTACCCACAGTATGCTGGATCTTTATGGACCTTTTTCCTAGGGAAATAGAAACATACCCATGAATTTTTACAGTTTAAGAAAATAGGACATACTATCCCACAGATTAATTTTTCAGCTAACAGCATGTAATAAATATCCTTCCATGTCAGTACCTCTAATTTTTGGGCCACAGATTTTCAGAGCCTTTTCAGTCAATTCAGTTCAGTGATTTTCTATGTCTAGAATTTTTTCAAAGTCCTTTTCTTTTTCTTCTTCGGAGTTTTTAACCCATTGCTGGTACCCTTTCTTGATTTTTACGATAATTTTTTGATATATATTTCTTTAGTCTGTGAACCTATGTTGAGCTAAGTGACTGTGTTTTATCTGTCATTTTAAATTAATTTATTTTATCCATTTGAAAGGCAGAGAGAGAGAGCTCTCTCATTTGCTGTTATACTCTGCAAACGCCCTCAGTAGTTGGGACTGGGCCAGACCAAAGCTGGAAGCCAGGAACTCAGACCAGTCTCTACATGCGTGGCAGAGACCAAACTGCTTCAGCCATCACCTGCCTCCCAGCACGTGCAACAGCAAAAAGCTGGAAAGAGGACCAGAACTGAGACTCAAACCTTGTCATTCTGATAGAGGTTACAAGTATCCTAGGTGGCATCTTAACCACTGCACCAAATGTCCATCTCTACAATTCTTAGATGGCAGCCAGTATTAGATTTTATTGGTTTGAATTATCTTATTATATTTATATTTGAGAACATTGAAAAATATCATGTCACCACAATGTATAAAAATTTGCACCATAGTTTAAAAAATGTTGAACTTTTCCTCTGTTTATTACTTGCTGTTTTTGAATTAAAAAGTCAGTCTTTAACCATAATCTATTGTAAGTTCAATATCAGCCATTGTGCTTTTAAGTCACGAAGGCCAAGTGAACAGAGCCCACTGGAGGAGGAATGTAATCTCAGCATAAACTGTGATTTTTCTCTTATTTTCAGTGTACTTAAATGAAGCAGGCTTCAACTTTGTGAGGAAATGCATTCAGGCCGTGGAGTCCAGAGGTAAGTGTTGCCTGACAGGTACCTGCTTACTCCTGTATGCCCCATTCCTACAAAGAATCCTCCCAGAGTAGAAAATGAGATGTATTTTACCAGAGTATGAGATTAATTTTAAGAAAGCTATAAAAGTATAGGTTACATAACTATACAAGTCGCTACTCTGAACTTCAGTTGACCAAACCTCAGGCTTCATTTTTCCTAATTTTTCTTAATATAGCCCCAATTTACTTGTTCTGGGCGGACTTTGTATGACAGTAAGCACCTCTAAATTTCTGCACGCACTGGGGAGGTAAGCTTCCTGTGGAGCTCGTCTGGAGCCCCCTTCCTTCCCGGTCTTCCTTCCCTTGGTGATGTCCATCACTGCCCCAGTTCAGCACCTTCCCTCCCTGTAATAGTGACCTCTCTGGAAACTCACCGCAGTTCAAGGTTAGGCTCTTTCACTTCCAGGACAACTTGTCTAAAGCAAAGCAAAGCAAAGCTTCTAGTGGGCTGTGAGGTTCTGTAGGCTTAGACTGACATGTGGGTGCTGTCACCTCATTTTGAGAAGTTCTGTGCATTCCTTGGATTCCCCGAGTCTGTTTTCTTACCTTTAAAATGAAGATGTGAACGGCATCAAACTGTTGGACATACAGGACTCCATGACTGAAAAGACAGAAGATGAGGAGCACTGATCATGGCTTCTTATCTTCCAGGCTTTTTATATTTAAATAGTGGTGCATAGTCAGGCATAGGTTGCTGCTTTGAAGATCTTCAAAGACTTTCGCATCACTGTTCAGTGTCTGCGCTGAGAAATATGTCTGACAGGTGTTTCCAGGGTAGGTTTCCTAAGGTTAGACTGCAAAATTGGATAAGCAGCTTTCAAATTCTACATAGACATATGCCTGAGCTTTCTACATTCTGTCCCTCGAGGCTGTGCCTCAAGCTATTTACTTGTGATTTTCCCTCCCATTAGGCATCACCATTTTAGGCCTCTACCGCATAGGAGGAGTGAACTCCAAAGTTCAGAAACTCATGAACACTACATTTTGTAAGTATTGGATGATGCGAATTACTTAATTTTTGTATTCTTTTATTTTTTATTTTTTTAATGTTTTTAAAAGATTTATTTTATTTATTCGAAAGAGTTACAGAGAGGGTTCGAGACAGACAGAGAGGTCTTCCATCCGCTGGTTTACTCCCCAATGGCCACAATGGCCAGAGCTCGAAGCCAGGAGCCAGGAGCTTTTTCCAGGTCTCCCACATAGGTGCAGAGGCTCACAGACCTGGGCCATCCTCCACTGCTTTCCCTTCACATCAGCAGGGAGCTGGATCAGAGGTGGAGCAGCCAGGACTCAAACTGGTGCTCATATGGGATGCCAGTGCTGTAGGCCAGGGCTTTAACCTGCTGTGCCACAGTGCCGGCCCCTTGTATTTTTATAGGTAATCCAAAATACAGGATTTTTTTTTGAGATGTAAACAATTGCTTGTCTTGGAATTCACGTTTCTGTTCAGTTTTTAATGCTTGATTTTAATAAACAAACAATCAGAATTTCTGGGAGTATTTTTTGACTTTTCCTCAGGTACCCTTGAGTGTGCTAGATAAACTGTAAAATGCGATTGATATTGAGTTACATTACCTGACTTAGACTCCCCGCTCAGCCACTTCAGAGCTCTGTGACCTTGAGTAGTTTGCTCAACTTCTCTGTGTCTTACCATCCTCTTTTGTAAGTTGAAGGTATTGATAGTACCTGCCTCTTGAGGCTCTATGGATTAAATGTGTTAATCCATGTGCAGCACGTTAGAAGTATGCCAGGCACATGTTCAGCAGCCTGTCGTACTAGCCATTAGCAGGAATTTGATTCAGGAGACTACTGTTCCTCCAGATATTTTCAAGGTAGTATCAGAGTAAGTTTCTCCAAAGCTCACAAAAACAAACAATCCTAATGTTAACTCTTTTCACATCCTAAGAAATGGATACCCCTGCTTTTGTCCTGTTTATGTTTGTATCCATTTTCACAATGGCACGAGTAGTATTTTGAATTATGTAGTTTAAACATCTTGCTTATTCTTTACAGCTCCAAAATCACCTCCTGATATCGACATTGATATTGAATTGTGGGACAATAAGACAATAACAAGTGGGCTGAAAAACTACCTCAGGTGAGGAAGATTTGCCTGCCGGTCCTCCAGACGTGAAATGGCAGTCACTTTCTTGGGCAGTAGCTGTCAGGTTTCATGAGCCTGTGCACTCAAGCCTTGCTCCTTCGCTCAGTTCCTTTCCAGGAGGCGAAATGGCACAAGATGGCAACGCTAACAGTTACTGCTCTGGAACTTGTTCTTGATTTTTCCAATAATGACCTCAAAGGCTGCGACATTTCATAAATACTGAATTAGTATTTTTTGTTTCACATGAAATTCATGTGTATTTTTTTCTGTGTATTTTTTTAATTACAAATTGAAATGGAAAGTTGTTTTGCTTCAAACTTTTTGTTTTAAATACCCCCCCCCATCTGAACGAGGTTTTCTTACTGAGTGTAGTTCTCACAAAGTGAAAACATTATCTCCCCTTTTCATTCAGTTGTGGCAAGAAGTGCGAAGGGACATGGGCGTCTGACATCTGCATTCTGGGACTCCCTGGAGCCCTCTTTCCAGAACTCCATCATACTACCTAATCACCCCGTTATCTTATTTGTTTGTTTGTTTTTAATTGACAAATAATCATGCAGTTCTTAAAGAAGCAGTGAAAGTTACAGGGGACTAGAAAGAAACTGCCACTGTACAGTATGCTTTGCCTTTCTGTTACAGGTGCCTTGCAGAACCACTGATGACCTACAAGTTACACAAAGATTTTATTGTTGCTGTTAGTAAGTACACTTTCATCAGATGCTTATAATTGTTATAGTTGGATGCTGCATTACCTAGACCTCAAAGTTCAAATCATCTAGTTGACATTTTTTACATATTGTTTAAAGAATCACTATTGTGGTGCTTACTTGCTTACAGTATGATTTGTAAGCCAAAAGAAATTGTGGAATTAATTAAATATTTGGTTATTTAATAAGGTCTCATTGGGATGACAGTTTGGTGTAATTAGAAAGAGCTATGAGGAATTATTTACATTTTATGTACTTGAGTGATGAAGAGCAGTTTCATAAGAAAGCACTTTGTGGTTAAATGAACAAGACTACAAACATGCACAGTTGATTTTGCCACTACACGTGCTTATGTGCCTTTTCCTAAATCTGGAGAACAAGAGTCACATATTTTGGAAAATCACTTCCCTCAGTCCCATTTCCTTTATATTGCATTTATTTGTGGTGATCACATATATATGACATTGGTTTAGATCTCTGGCTACTATAATGTGCTGTGAATAGATACATTTAATTGAAAACTTGGAGGGCTTGGGTGTGGGGCCAGTGAGAAAGGTATAACCTAGAAGTTAGTACAGGTACTTTTAACCCATTGAGACTAAAGCGCCAGATTGCTATCTGAGTCCCATCACTGCAGTGTGTAACGGTTAGTAGTTGGCATTTCATTGTTAACTTGTATGAGCTGTGGCTCTATGAAGAGTGCTTTTCACAATTCAAGAAAGAAATTGGTTGCATTGTTTTATATTGCAATGCCACAGGAAATGCCTGCTGATAAACAGTGTCAGATAAAGTTGAATGATCTTGATTTCCAGCCCAGTATTCTGGCAGCCTTTATGGTCTCTTAACACCTGCACTACCTGATTTTCTCCTGAAAGTTCTCTGCTGTACATTCCCAGAGACAGAACTCTACCTTTCTAAGATGGACAGAACCTGAGAAAACACATCATCTGTCCTCTCATCTCATTGATTAGAGAATCACGACCAGGATGGACAAGTGACTTGCCCAAGCACAGAGTAAATTTATGGCCAAGCCAGTTATTTTGACTCTTGACCGAGAACTCTTTCATACAGAAGTGTTGTTTTATAACAAATGCTTTAAACCATTTGCCTAAATGGCTAAAGTTTAGTTAGTTAAATGGCTACAATGAGCTGGTTGTTTTGAGACAATTATTTTTGTCACAATTATTCTTGTATTGGCTTCTGTGACAAGTGATGCTTTTATTATTCAGTATCATGATTTTACAATATGGATATATGTGTATGAATTCCCCTTCTGTCTGAGCCAACAATGGCCCTACTTACTATCTAGTAATAGTAAATTGATAAAATTAGGCTGTTTGGTTTCAAGTAACAAAATCCAGCGTAGTTAAGAAGAGAATGATATTGAAGCCCTTAAGAGGTATCCCACAGAGTTCAGATGTTCCAAGAGCCTGCATCCCGCAGCTGCTAACTTGAGAGCTGACATTTTGGTTTGTTTCTGAAGGGTCTCTCATCTCTGTTCTTTGCTGTATTGCTGTATCACTCTCATCGCTCTTTCCAGTCATAGTTCCCTGAGGACACTGTGGTCACCCTCGCTTTGGTTTTATATGGCCTGCCTTTTCACAGATCCAGCAGACAGATCAGAGTTTTGGAGTTAGATGTCTTCATCTCAGCTGCTTGGGAGAGAGTCGATCTCTTAAGCCCCTACCCAAAAAGCTTTGCCTAGAAGACATGGTGGTCTCATAATTTAAATCTATGGATTATAATTAAGTCTTTCTGTAGAAAGTACATAGCAAGATGGGCAGCCACCCCAGAATTTGTTCACTATAAAGAGCAGGTTAGATTTATCATTCCAGACCATTTGAAGTTTCTCTAGCTGACATCTCAACATGTCAGCTTTTGCCTTGCAAACTTGCCTAGTCTTAGATAGTTCCTCACATTTCAGATCTACCACTGTCAGTGTGGGCTTAAACTCTTGGGCCTGTATTTGCATGGTAATGCTGACATCTCAGGAAAGTCACTGTCTATTGTCTTTGAGTGTAGATAATAAGGAAAGAAGTGCTGGTTTCCTGTGTTCACACAGCATTGGATACCTGGAAGGTCTCTATGTAATAATGTGTATACTTGACCTAGAAAATTAGGCAGGCTGAATCAGTTGCAGTGATCATTCACACTGTTAAAAATTGAATTTATCCTTGGATAGTAAAAACCAAGCAGGTGGTAAGTTATAGTTCATATCTAGACTCCATAGAACTGAGTTTCTTTGGCTTCTCTAATTCTTAACTTCATGACCAATAATAACTATACTCAACCTTTGTAACTCGTAGGAAATTACAGTGATCATAAGATTACTAATACTTATATGTACATTTGAATGCAATTGAAAACCTGAGCATTTGTAACTTTTCTTTATGTAACAGAATCTGATGACCAAAACTACAGGGTGGAGGCTGTACATGCGTTGGTGCACAAATTGCCGGAGAAAAACAGAGAGATGCTGGACATCTTGATAAAGCACCTAGTCAAGTAATTCTCTAGCTTCTATTGTTCATTTAACTATTTGTTCATCTGTTGAAGTTAAGCTTGTTTGTGTCTTTTTAAAGCATATGATGGTGCCATAATACCACTGTTGTAATCAGAATCTATTGAATGTGCTTATTTTAAGATAAATCTTTATGTAGTTTCTGTGTACCTGTATTTGTTTCTAATATGCAAATGACTTCATCATTTGCAGCCTTTAAACTAATGGCAAGACACTTAAATGTCAACCTAAAAATGTGTTAAGGGGTATATTTTTATAAAAATTTTTTAAAGATGTGTTACCAATAAGAGATTTTGAAAGCCATTACTGTTTACTACTAAAATCAACAGATTGCCCAAGCCAAACTAACAATCTAATGTTAGATTCCTTCTCTGGATTCAGTTTCTCTTGGTCTCTGGCTTTGCTTCTAATTCATCCATGTATATAAAAATTCCTCTCTGTTGACAAACAGGCCTTGTATGCATTAGAGTTCTCTATAAAAGCAATTTGTGTGTGTGTGTGTGTGTGTGTAAAGATTGATTGATTTTTTTTTAAGGAAGTGGCTCACATCATTATGGAGGTGGGTAAGTCCAAACTGAAGGTTATACTGGCAAGCTAGAGCCCCAGAGAAGAGTTGATGTTAAAGCTTGAATCCAAAAATAATCTGGAGAAAAAATTCATTCTTCCTCAAAAGGATTTTGTTGGTTTGTCTATTTATTTATTTATTCATTTGTAAGACCTTCAACTGATTGGATGTGACATACTGACATTATATAGGTTAATCTGTTCTAGTTAAAGCCTGCTATTTCAATATTATTTTAATCTAAAAATACCTTTATAGAAATAGCTAGAATAACATTTGACCAAATATCTGGGTACCATGACCTACCCAATTTGATATGTACAGTTAATCACCATAGATATATATTATATCTAGGATGATATATCTATTCTCTCTAGAGATGAAAACATACATACACGTACACTTAATCCAGAAAATTTTTTGACATACTACTGGAAATAAAAACCTAAATTAAATTTTAAAATTGCTTAAGAATTATTTAACAGCACATTTACTATTTTCATAGAGACATTTTCCACTTAATGAGTACCATGATTCATAATAAAATCATTAATCCAGTTTTGCTATAAAAAGTAATCCATTTATTCTCATTTAAGGCTTGCACATTGAAATAGTACTGGGGGCCAGTGTTATGGCATAGCCAGTTAAGCCATTGCCTATGACACCAGTTTCCATATGAATGCTGGTTCCAGTCCTGCTGCTCCACTTCAGATCCAGCTCTCTGTTATGTGCCTGGGAAAGCAGAGGAAGATGGCCTAAGTGCTTGAACCCTTGCTCCCAGGTGGAAGACCTGGATGAAGTTCCTGGCTCCTGGCTTTGGCCTGGCTCAGCCCCAGCCATTGTGGCCATTTGGGAAATGGACCAGCAAATGGAAGATCTCTCTCTCTGCCTCCCTCTTTTTCTAAATCTGCCTTTCAAATAAATTTTTTAAAAAGTAGATCATTTTAAAAAATAGACAATAGGGTCGCCTAAACATAATAAGTCTCATCTTAACTCACAGATTTTCCGATAATATGAGTCTCTCTTCCATGCACACATACCCTCCCCCACCACTTAAAATAACAAGGAAATCCACTATGAACAATCTCACTTAAAGTTTAGCACTTCTCCTAGGTAGTGTTTCACTGTGCTTGATAGGATTAGCTTAGTGAACGCCTCTTGAAATATAAATACCTTATTTGTTAAGTATTCTCTTGCTAGTATTCAAACTAATTTTCTCACAGTCTTTTAAAATGTACTTTCAGAAGCCACAAGAGTGTCACATACAACTTTTTTGCTTAATTACCCAAAATGTTAATGTATCACAAACTTCACCTTAATGTGACCCTGCATGGCTTTGGCACTGGCAGGAGCAGGGAGGAGTGTCTGGCCACTAAGCCTGCTTAACCACCAGCCTTGTCTCCTTTCCTGAGTCTACAAAAGGTCAAGCCCCACTGGTGAGCAGAGGATGTGGAATGTGTGCTCAAACCATCACTAACCTATTTATGAAAACTGAAACAACAGATAACACTTTTGATCTCTTGAAACTTAATATAGTAGAAAAAGGAGAACTTTAGTGTCATTTGTAAATAATGTTTTAGAGACACCTATCCATTAGCAGATAGAACATTTAAGAAAATTACTGTAATTTTCTTTGAAAGCAAAAAAAAAAACTGAAAGTAGATTTCTACTAAATGAAAATATTTGTATATTGTGTATGGCTATTGTCTAGTGCTCTCAAAGTCACACCAGATTTATGTTTTTTAATTCCATAATATTCAGGTGATAAAAATCCTTAACTCAATGCAAATGTGAAATTAAATAAAACTCTTAGTTTTCTGTTTAGAGAGCCTTCCTGGGAGCAGGTGATATTGCCTCATTGCAGGTGATATTTGAGTACTCTGTTATTAGAAGCATATGTAATTAGTAACTTTTTCTATTTGATTGATCTTTTATCATTATATTTTCTTTTTCTCAGATACAGTTTAAAAATCTGTTTTGTGTGTTATTAGTTTAGCCACTTGAGCTTTTTTATGGGTGCTATTTACATGATATATCTTACATCCTTTTAATTTCAATCTATTTGTACTTTTAAACAAAACTGTATTTACAGTAGAAAGCATATGGGTGGATTCTTTTTTAATCTAGGCTGATAATCCTTGTCTTTTAATGGCATTGTTTGTTCCATTCACATTTAATGTTGTAATTGATATAGTTAAACCTATACCTGCCATGTTTTATTCCATTTTCTGTATGCTGTGTTCCTTTGTTCTTCTATTCCACCTTGACTGCTTTCCTTTCTTGGTGGTTCTTCTAGGGATTACCATATGCATCCTAATAGAATCTACTTCTTGTTCCTACTGCTTAATTCAAGAGAGTTGCAGAAACACTATTATTTTCTAGTTTTATGTCTTTCCTTTCAAAAAAAGAAGATTTTATTTATTTATTTGAAGGCAGAGTTACAGACAGTAAGAGGGAGAGACAAAAAGAGGTCATCTATCTACTGGCTCACTCCCCCAATAGTCTCAATGGCCAGAACTGAGTTGGTCTGAAGCCGGGAGCCAGGAGCCTCTTCCAGGTTTCTTATGCAGGTGCTGGGGCCCAAGCACTTGGACCATCTTCTACTGCTTTCCCAGGCCATAGCAGAGAGTTAGACTAGAAGAGGAGCAACCAGGACACAAACCAATGCACCAATATGGAATACTGGTGCCACAGGTGGAGGCTTAGTCTACTATTGGCCACACTGCCAGCCTCTTCTTTCTTCTTTTGGTGCTATATTTATATTCATGTTACATCTGTATGTTATAAACTCACCAATTCATTGTTATGATTATGCCTTTATGTATTTTGTCTTCCTAAAATTTTTTTTTATTTTTATTTTTTTTATTTATTTTTTTTTTAATTTTTTGACAGGCAGAGTGGACAGTGAGAGAGAGAGACAGAGAGAAAGGTCTTCCTTTGCCATTGGTTCACCCTCCAATGGCCGCCACGGCCGGCGCGCTGCGGCCAGCGCACCGCACTAATCTGATGGCAGGAGCCAGGTACTTATCCTGGTCTCCCATGGGGTGCAGGGCCCAAGCACTTGGGCCATCCTCCACTGCACTCACTGGCTACAGCAGAGAGCTGGCCTGGAAGAGGGGCAACCGGGACAGAATCCGGTGCCCCGACCGGGACTAGAACCGGGTGTGCCGGCGCCGCAAGGCGGAGGATTAGCCTAGTGAGCCGCGGCGCCGGCCTTCCTAAAATTTTTATTCATATAATAATAACATATTTCATGTATTTCATGGATACAATTCTGAAGATAACCATACTTACTACCCTTCCTTCCTCTCAAACTACCCTCCTTCTTTCCTTTCTTTTTTTTTCTTCAATTTTTGCAATAACCTTTTTTTGCATTTCATATATACAGCTTTAAGATCATAGTGATATTTTCTATCATATCCTCTCTTCTTCCCTCACTTCCACCCTTATTTCTTTTCTTATTTTCTTTCAGTTCTTACAATTTTCTTTATAATCACAAGATTAACCCTCCACCAAATAAAGAATTCCACAAGTAGTAAGTAGAAAAGCCACTGCTCCTCAATAGTATGGAGAAAGGTTGTAATTTTAATGCTCCTTCAAGAAGCTAAGAGATGAAAGAGGAATAGGCATATTGTTATTGAGTTTGATATATTAACTTTCTTCTTCACCATTTCCTGGCCTTTTCCTTTGTTCCTGTCAATTTGAATTAACATCTAGTATATTTTCTTATTCCAGTGCAGGATTGCTCTCATCTACTTACTTTGTATGATTATTGTCAAATATATTATATTTGTGTATATTATCAACCAAACAATACAGGGGACTGTAAAAGTCAAGTAGCCTAGCAGAAAGAAAGTCCACTGAAGAGTAATTCCATTTTCTGTGCAATGTAATCATCAGCTCTCCATATTGAAACACACTGTTTTTTTTTTATTTAAAATTTATTCCTAATAAGCATAATATTAATCATATTCCCTTTATTTGTATTATAGAAATAAGTATATTTTAGCAACAGTGCTAAAGACAATTTGATTTCAGTGGAGAATATTATCATGAAATTGTATCTTATTTTAATTTAATTCATTATTTCTTTTAATTCTCTCAGAAACCCTGTGAGGCTTGTTATACTCAATTTACTGATGAGGAAACTGATTCCTAGAGATACTAAGTAACTCGACTGAGCTCACCCAACTTACAAGTAATGGATCCAAGTTTGGATCCAGACAGGCTCACTGCCTTTACATACAATTTTCCTTAGTAGATTGTCTAATACATATTAAGCAATTAGTATATGATGTTTGTTTATAGTAAAAGGAAACTTGCAATACAGCTGTTACTCAGAGCACCTTCCTGGTTAGGGTCCTCTTGGGCATAAGAAGGAAGTTCAGTTAATGTGACAATCTGCTTTTCCTGTCCTGTGTCAAGAGTGGTGAATCATCCAGAATCCTCAGTTTCCCATAAAATATTTTGGTTGTAGCTTGTAGTTAATAATACATATTCAGTCAAACATAAGCATAATCTTGTATTGTACACCTTCTTAAAAGTTTATTTTCTAGTTTATAATCTAGGCTCTTTTTTTTTTTTCGTTTTTAAAGTCAGCAATGTTGTTATCATATCTCCTTGTCCCTCCATTTGCCTAACACAATGTCTGACATTAGAGAAGCACTCAAGGAAGTCTTAGATGGATGGATGGATCAGTGGATGGATGGGGCATGTGGAAGGACGAATGAGAGGGAGATAGAAGCCTTTGACTTGCATTTAGAAGACCTGAACTAAAACAGCATCTCGGTACAGGCATTTCGCACAGCTGTTGAGATGCTTGTTGGGATGCCTGCATACCCTATCAGAGTGCCTAAGTTCAAGTCCACACTTGACTTGAACAGCTTCCTGCTAGCAGGCACCCCAGGAGGCGGCAGGTGATAGTTCAAGTAGTCGAGTCCCTGATATCCATCGATCCCCATGTGGGGGGCTTGGATTGGTTCCCAGTTCACCCTCCCTAGCCATTGAGGGCATCTGGGGAATAAATCAGCAGATGAGAACTAACACACACAAACTCTCTTTGTCTCAGTCCCCCTCATCCCTGTCTCAATCTCTCTCTCTCTCTTTCTGTTTCTCTGCCTCTCAAACAAATAAATATATTTTTAAAAATAAGCAAAAGATATAGCACCTCTAATAGCACCCTACTTTGCCATGACCTCAAGTTCATCACTTTTACTTTAGGAGCTTCTAGGGTTTTTGTTTTTCAAATGCAAATGACAGGGATAACTGACTTGCATTAAAGATTAAATGCAATAATATGTATGCCTGACAATAGGTTCTTAATAATGTTTGATGAGTCAGAATATAATTACAGCCAACCTATTCTTACCCATCTATTCTAAAGGAAGCATAGCACCACAGAAAGCAGCAAATCACTGGTCATCCTTTTAGGGTAATTGTATTCAATTTAGGAAGGCAAAATTTCTTTCCATTGGTGGGTAAGCCTAAGTATCTTTTAGTTCATTTGTGTTGACTTTTTACATCTCTTTGGAATATTCCACCTACTCGTGCCAATTGGAAGTGGCTAAAAGTGACTGGGAAAATGAACCTTTAATAGCGTATTTAGCATTTCTAATCTAAGAAATTTGATAGAAGAGAATGCTTTAGGAAACAATGGAACTTAAAGATTTTTTTCTTTATGTACAGAGTATCACTACATAGCCAACAAAATCTCATGACTGTCTCAAATCTCGGTGTCATATTTGGACCAACTCTGATGAGAGCGCAGGAAGAAACTGTGGCTGCCATGATGAATATTAAGTTTCAGAATATTGTTGTTGAAATTCTGATAGAGCACTATGAAAAGGTAGGCTCAGTTTTCATGTACAAGTGACAGATCCTAAGTTCTTCCCAAAAATCCTTCAGATAATTTCTTTTCCTTTCCTGCTACATCATTTGTTTGTCAAGGTTTTCTCCATTAGCATTTATGTGGTCATTACTCATATTCAGAGAACACTTTTTTCATTAAGCATCTCTTGCAGCTCTAAGATTAATTAGTAACTCTCAAAACTTGTTTTTCAACGGAAATGGCAATCGCACTCCTTTGTTGACCTCAGTCCATTTTTCTTCTATGTAGATTTTTCATACTGCCCCAGACCCAAGCATTCCCCTTCCTCAGCCTCAGTCCCGATCTGGATCCCGGAGGACACGAGCAATCTGCTTGTCCACAGGCTCCCGGAAGCCCAGGGGCAGGTATACCCCCTGCCTGGCAGAACCCGACAGTAAGTGTGCCCGGCCACGGGGAGATGCTTTCTTCATTCTTTCACTCAGGCTTAGCTCACGTTATAGGAATAAGGTAGAACTAGGAATCGTTCTTTCCTCAACACGCCCTCTTCTAACATATCTATGTTCTCATACTTGGGAGGTTCTATGGACAAGCAAATTCATTATTGGCTACAAAAGGGGAAAAATAGTTTCCTCAATGCCCTTTTTTCTGTGGTTGTGAATAAGTACATCGGGTGCTTCTTGGTAGCAGGTTTTGTGCTTTTGTCACGGTGGTAGGGAAGAAAGCAAGAAGAAGTCTGACTGAAGCAATCATTTTCTTTCTTCCTTTCACATTATGTTCTTAAAGCATCATCTCTTGGGTATCAAAGTGTCTGAGAAAGAAAAGAAATAAAAGGAAAACTGACACTACACATTATCACTAAGTCATTCTGAACCAGGCCCCAAAATGATGCGGGTCTCAGCTTGGAGCCACGGCATACATTAAACTGTAGTGATTCTCATTTTATTTTGTATCCCTCCCAAGTTCCCAACTTTTTCCCAAAGACAATATTTAATAGGAAATACAGTCTAGTGATTTTTAATTTAGATATATTTGAATGTATTATTACACTTTCTTTGGTTTTTACTTATACTTTTCTTTTAGGAACATTAAAAATAAACTTATTTAAATAGCCAATTTCTTGTGTTACTATATTCTTGGCAGAAAAAGAAAAAAAAATCCTCCCTTTGAAAACTCTGAGCAGCTTGTAATTTGCTGCTGATATTTAATGGTGCCTTTGAATGAGGGAGAACTCACGTACATTGTAACTCAGAATCACCCATGATCAGTGCAGCAAAAGAAGGCAGAGATATGTCTTTAGTATACCTTCCTCCATTGATTTCTTGTAACATCACACATGACTCACTTCTCTTACCTCCGAGTCCTGTTTCAGAAACAAATATTATCTGAATTCAGCCAGCTCACTAATGCTTTAAGAAATACAGTTATTACATAGGGGCAGTTAGTTCACATGTATGTCTAAAATCTTCCTAGAATAGTATTGAGAAATACATTCACCAAGGTCGGATGCAGACTGTTCAGTGCTGAGGACAGTTCTGCACACCCAAGAAAGGCCTGCGCGTCAGTGGGATCAGGTAGCCGCATGGTAAGCTGAATGTGCAAGGTTTTCTGGTAGCACCACTAGCTACTGGTAACTACCGCTGTTTTTCCTGCTCTGCCTCAGGTGACTCCTATAGCAGCAGCCCAGACAGCACACCCATGGGTAGCATTGAGTCACTCTCCTCTCACTCCTCTGAACAAAATAGCACTACCAAGTCAGCTTCCTGCCAGCCCCGGGAGAAGTCTGGAGGCATCCCCTGGATTGCAACCCCATCGTCTTCCAATGGACAGAAAAGCCTTGGGCTCTGGACAACCAGTCCTGAGTCAAGTTCTAGAGAAGATGCAACCAAAACAGACGCAGAGTCAGACGGACAGAGCGTCGCCTCCGTCGCTAGCCCAGGGGACACCTCACCACCCATAGACCTCGTCAAGAAAGGGCCGTACGGACTCTCAGGGCTGAAAAGAGCCTCTGCGTCCTCCCTCAGATCCATCTCCGTGGCCGAAGGTAAGCTGGAGTGGGGCTTGTGCCAGATGCCATTGTCTCAGTGTCACTCGCTGAATTACTCAGCATGACTAGGCAGGGATAAAGTTAATGCTGAAGAAACTAATGATGCTTATCTGTTTGTTCCTGAGCTTGGGTTTTAAAACTTCTGTGTGCTGTGACATTTTTCCTAAGTCTTTCCATCCCTGTGAGGTGATGTCTCTGTAATTACTGTAGATTTTGATCTCCTTGAGTGATGGGCTGTTGTGCTCCAAGAACATTCTGTACCTTCCCATTTAGGCTCAGAGAAAAATGCGTCCTTTTGTTATGCACATGTACTGTGGTGTTGCTATTATTTTGTCTAATAGCATCTTACCTATTTCTTTGGGCTTTTTTTTTTTTTTAAAGGAAACAAGAGCTACAGTGGATCCATTCAAAGCTTAACTTCTATAGGTTCCAAAGAGTCACCCAAAGCCACACCAAACCCAGACTTGCCTCCAAAAATGTGCAGGAGGTTAAGGCTAGACACTGCATCAAGCAATGGCTATCAGCGACCTGGCTCAGTGTAAGTGAGAAAGAGTTTGTATTTGTTGCAACCCAGAGATGCAGAAGGGTTGAGTATGTTCTAAAGAACTCTTAAGAGTCCCACTGTGGAATGCCTCATCTGTAGAGTGGGTACAGCCAGCTTCTGTAGGACTTGGTTGATATTCTGAAGTGTGATGTTACAGGAAGGTTGCAACAGGCTTAGGATGCATAAACAGTCTCATGAGGTGGCACTTTAATCACTATCACTTTGCCTAGCATTAGCGATATGGCTTAATGTAATTGCATGACTCTGCCTCTGCCTCTCTGTGTCTCTGCCTTTCAAATAAATAAATAAATCTTTAAAAAAATACACACAACTAATTTTTTAAAAGTTCGTGGGGAAATGGAATTAAAAGTATGAGTTATTTTGGTGCACATTTTTAATGCTATGTGGACAAAGTGTTATGAAAAAGACTATGTAAAACTTTCAAAATTATTTTTTCACTAAAATGAACTCATGCTTTTACTTCCATTTCCTCCACAAACTCATTGTAGTACCTTCACAGAATGTATAAACCCTGTTTTAGAGATGATGATAATAGATGCTTAGGAAGTTTGAGAAATTAGTGCACATCTACTCAGCTAACAAGTGACAGACTGAGATTCCAACCAAGATTTCTCTAGCTTCCGTTCTGTGCTCTTCCTGTTACATCATGTGCATTTTTAATATGATGGTATTGCTGACATGTTATTCATTGTAACTTCAGTAAGGCATTTTACTATGCCTGTTTCTCTGACAAGAATGTTTTGGTAGCAGGGTGTGTTCACCATCTATCATCTCTCTTGGTCAGAAATCCAGCTACTGTGGAATAAACAAATATATTTGTAAATCTGTCTACTCCCCAGCATGTGTAAACAGTCAAGGGAAATTAAATTTTAATCCAACTTGTCAGGGAAGATGCGAGAATATAAACTCCCTTCTTTGTGGAAGAAAGAAAAGAGCTTCTGTTTTGTGATTGTCCTGATAGTTAAAGTACTAATTAAAATGAAGGAGTCTATGTTCTATATTAGATGTAAAATGATCCTTGAGATAGTCAGATGGCTTTAATTGAGGTTGTCAATTAAAGAACAAGATAGACTTTGAAAGTCTAATTCAGGTGCCTCATTTCAGTTGTTTACCATTCATACCCAGTAGTCTCACCACTTTGAGTGGAAGCTCTCCCCAATCCCACACCATAATTTGAAATTTTCAAACAAGATTTGAATCAAAAAATGTATCTATTGGCAATAGTTTCAGAATTTGGCCTTAACAGTTTGCAGGAAATATGTTCAAATATTTAAAAAAATACTTGAAAATATGTCTAGTTGGTTGTTTGGTAGCGATCAGAAGGAACAACAGTTCTCCCTGCATGTCAGTTTGGTTCTTTGATTCTTCCCTGGTGGCTCCGCTGGCATCAATGGCACGCTCCCAGGAGCACAGTGGGAGACAATGTTCCTTTTACTGCTCCCTCAGTTTGGAGGTTAAAAAGGATGAGAGCGCTAAGAATCCCCAGGGGATGTAGCTGTAGGCTTATTACACTCTGATGCTTTTTGAACTGCAGATTAGAATTAAAAATCTCCCACATTAAAGCTTAGACAGTTGAAAGCCAGGTCCGATTTTGATGATGGTTCTTAACCAATCATTGTTTTTGTTGAACTGACAACCCTGAATTTTGCCTTGAACACAGTAATTTTCCAAGTGAAGAATTATTTCCAAAATTATTTTTCAGAGTGGCGGCAAAAGCCCAGCTGTTTGAAAATGTTGGTTCACTTAAGCCGGTTTCTTCTGGGCGGTAAGTTCTCAAAACCATTAAACACATTTAAAAACATAAATGAAATGTTAACGCTGTTGCCTAGGATTGACATGATAGATTATCCATGGCAGCTGTGCCCCCAGATATGTTGGCCAAAGCCGCATCCACTGGCACTTCACAGGAGGTCGTGTCTGAATGGCATGTAGCATCCCAGCTTCTCCGTAGCAATGCCTCCTTTGCTGAAATCTTCCCAGAAGGATTGTAAACAAACAGACTTCCAAAAGAAAGCATTTCCATAATCCTTTGTGTACCTTGGAGCATCATTTTGGGAGCGATTTCAAAAGTGCATTCTTGACTTTTGTGAGTTATCTAACTTTTTCTGGAAGAATCCTGCAGGGCATCCATTGAAAACCTTGGTTATTCTTAAGGACCAGTGAGGTATTGTAGAGCTAATTACTCCAGGTGCCTCTGTGTTTTAAGTACAAGACTTCATTCAGGCTTTCCAGACTTTACATTCTACTCCATTGTTGAAATGATATGAGTTATTACATCTTGCTGCTATTAATGTGTTTGCTTCTAAAGTTCCTGGTTCCTTTTCTTTTCTTTGTTGCAGTCTGGTTTGTTATTTGAATAATAGAATTTCTTAAAGGTGGCTGTGTGTGTGTGTGTGTGTGTGTGTGTATACTATCAGCAGCTACTACAAATAGGCATTTTTATAAGTACTTGCTCAAAGAACATATAAAAGAGAGAACTTGAAGAGTAACACTTGATTTTCCATTTGGATGTACTGATGCATTTTTGAGCTTCCTGTGTCTGGATAATTGAGACTTTGAAGTTATCAAAGATAATCCTTATTAAAGTTATATAGCCAGAGGCAAGCACTGTGGCATAGTGAGTAAAGCCACTGCCTACAACACCTACATCCCCTATGAGTGCCAGTTTGTGTCTCAGCTGCTCCACTTCTAAGCAAACTCCCTGCTAATGGCCTAGGAAAAGCAGCAGAAGATGGCCCAAGTACTTGGGCCCCTGCTACCCACATGAGATACCTAGTGAAGCTCCTGGCTCCTGGCTTCAGCCTGATGTAGCACTGGCCATTATGGTCATTCAGGGAGTGAACCAGCAGATGTAAGATTTATCTCTCTCTCTCTCTCTCTCTTTTTTTTTTTTTTTTGACAGCCAGAGTGGACAGTGAGAGAGAGAGGCAGAGAGAAAGGTCTTCCTTTGCCGTTGGTTCACCCTCCAATGGCCACCGCGGCCGGCGCGCTGCGGCCGGCGCACCGCGCTGATCCGGTGGCAGGAGCCAGGAACCAGGTGCTTTTCCTGGTCTCCCATGGGGTGCAGGGCCCAAGCAACTGGGCCATCCTCCACTGCACTCCCTGGCCTCAGCAGAGAGCTGGCCTGGAAGAGGGGCAACCGGGACAGAATCTGGCACCCCGACCGGGACTAGAATTCAGTGTGCCGGCGCCGCTAGGTGGAGGATTAGCCTAGTGAGCTGCGGCGCCGGCCTTAGATTTATCTCTCTCTCTCTCTCTCTCTCTCTCTGTCTCTCTCTCTCCCTCTCTCTCTGTGTCTCTTCCTCACTATCTATAACTCTGACTTTCCAAGTAAATAATTTTTTTAAAAAAAGGATTTATTTATTTATTTGAAGTGCAGACTTAAAGAGAGGCAGAGAGGGAGCTCTTCCATCTGCTGATTCACTCCCCAAATGGTCACAATGGCCAGAGCTGGGCTGATCTGAAGCCAGGAGCCAGGAACTTTTTCCATGTCTCCCATGTGACTTGGGTCATCTTCTTCCGCTTTCTCAAGCCATAGGAGAGAGCTGAATGGAAAGTGGAGCAGCTGGGACTTGAACCAGCACGCATATGGGGTGCCGACACTGCGAGTGGTGGCTTTACCCGCTACACCACAGCACTGCCCCATAAATACATCTTTTTAAAAAAAAAAGGTTATTCAACAAAAGAATTTTATCAACGTTTTCAAAGTTTGTGGGTTTTTTTGTTTTTTGTTTTTTGTTTTTTAAAGAGCAAGCATTTCTTAAGCAACTGTGTAATGCTAGATATGTGGTAGTTACCAGGAATACCAGTGCCTTCACACTCTTTCTGGTTTTTTCCAAAGCCTAGTGAGGGTCTTCGAATGTTATTTGTGTTTTTTGTTTGTTTGTTTGTTTGTTTTTTTAGCTCCACAGATTAGAGGCACTTTGATCTCTTAATTGGGTGGCAGTGCCTTGCATTGATACGTCTGATCCCTGAGTACTCTTACATAAGCCTCTTATCTCTGTACACAGCATCTTCATCTTCTTCCTTTTTACCAAGGCATGGTGAAAATCAAGCCTGCATTCCAGAGCAAATATCAGTTCTCTGAGATTGTCATCATTTTTAGGGTTTAGTGTAAAAGCGGTATAAGCTTGCTACTTCCATCTCTTGCACTAAATGGTTGAATTTTTCCACTAGATGGCGCTCGTTCATTAGAAAGCTCCAAACAGAATCTGACTCTTCAGAAAAAAATTCCCAGTAACCTCATAGATATCAACACAAAAAGATGCTCAAATCCCTCAAATAGAATGACATAGAATTTGCATAACCCACACATATTATATACCTTATATACCTTAAATCATCTCCAGGCTACTTTTGATATCTACTGCAATGTACATGATATATAAGTGATTGTTTGGCTATATTTCTTAGGAAGTAATGGCAAGGGGGAAAAGTCTGTCCATGTTCAGTGTAGGTGCATTTTGTTTTTATTTACTTTTTTTAATTTATTTGACAGGTAGAGTTATAGATAGTGAGATAGAGACAGAGAAAAAGCTCTTCCTTCCATTGGTTCACTCCCCAAATGGCTACCATGGCCGGCGCTGCACCGATCCGAAGCCGGGAGCCAGGTGCTTCCTCCTGGTCTCCCATGCGGGTGCAGGGCCCAAGCACTTGGGCCATCCTCCACTGCCTTCCTGGGCCACAGCAGAGAGCTGGACTGGAAGAGGAGCAACCGGGACTAGAACCCGGCGCCCAAATGGGATGCTGGTGCCACAGGTGGAGGACCAACCAAGTGAGCCACAGCGCTGGCCCCGCATTTTATTTTTAATATTTTTGAACCATGGTTGGTTAAATCTGTTGATGTGAAACTTTCAGATATGAAAGGCCAACTGGTCTGTAATCTCACAGAGCTTTAAGGAAAAAAGCTGTTAATGAAGTAAATCAGGACACTGTTGTATCATAAAGATTTAGTCATATATCTAACAATCAACCTAGGCATTTTAATAATGTACTTTTATTTTCTAGTACATTAGCTGCTAATGGGTATTAGCAAAAGCTTAAAGCTCACTCAGCTCTACATTCAGAGTTACAGTCTTCCTCTGTTAACCAGTTGAATTTCTGGACTGTGTATAACTTGTCACTGAAACAGACACAGTTAAACAGGAATTTTGGCCCCTCACTTCCTAGTTGTATAACTTTGTAGTTACATATTTTGGTAATCCATTTACTTTATTTACTTATATAATAAAGGTCATAATTCTGAGCCTTCTGAATCATTATAAAATAGACAACAATGTACTTCACATCCATGGTAGAAGCTGTGTGGATTATCTCTACATTTATAGGTATTATAACTATTGCTTATATTGCTTGTCCAAGACACTTAGTTCTCTAATATGTTAGCAGTATTTCAGTGCTAACTCTTAACAGTCATCTGATTCTCTTTTCTACTATTAAATTAAGCTAAACAACAGATAGAAGTTAAGGACATTTCCCTAACTAACCTTCTACAATGCCTGTCTCATGTTCCTTCTGCGAAATAAGGATTACTCTTGGAATGGCCCAGAGGTAGTAGGAAGACTAGCCATGTTTGTGAAAAAGATAGGCTGGGATGTTTTGGTGAATGACCTTGAGCAACAGAAAAATACTGCCTCTGGAGTCACTGCAGACTTCAGATGCCACTAGCAGATGGGTGGCCTGATGAACAATGCACCTGAACAGATCAGGCAAGTGACCTTTCCATGAAGTTGTGGAGAAGGGAGAGAAGCAACTATTTAGAATATAATGGTAAAAATTAGGTCTTAATTAGGAGAGTAGCAAAAGTATGAAAAGCAATAAGGAGATTTTATGACTAGGATAGGACTGAGTAGCTGCTTAGATACTGAGAGTAGTGTAAAGAACATTCTAAGTGTCTGATAGTAAGAATCAGAAAGAATGGTAGCTTGGCGTCTGATCTCAGTTTTGTACACACACAGAGGGCATGGCAGTTCTGGGCATAGAGTTTGAGGAGCCTGGAGGACAAGTGAGAGGTGATTAGAAATACACAGCTAGAACCAGGGCAGCGCAGAGTTTGATGCCATTTGAGAAACTTAAATGCAACAATTGCACTGCATAGTTAAAGGTGACAGTACCTAGCATAGGGGATTTATTGCTTGGAAAAGGGAAAAAATGGCTAAGCATTGGTCTTTGGCAGATGCTTTTACTTAAAATGTTTTTTTTTAATGGTTTTATTTAGGGAACAATGTGAAAGAGTGGTTAGGAAGTGAAGGCATGGCCGCCAGTGAAGAAAAGAAAGAAATGTCAAGGAATCAAGAGAGGATGCTGGATTTAACTCCTAAGATAAAACTAGCAATCTTAAAGATAGCATGCCCAGTGGAATGGGAGAGATTACACTCTAAGACTTGGATTCTTGAATGTTTATGTACTCATTTTATTTATTTGAAAGTGAATGAGGCCGCGGCTCAGTAGGCTAATCCTCCGCCTTGCGGCGCCAGCACACCCAGTTCTAGTCCCGGTCGGGGCACCGGATTCTGTCCCGGTTGCCCCTCTTCCAGGCCAGCTCTCTGCTGTGGCCAGGGAAGGCAGTGGAGGATGGCCCGAGTGCTTGGGCCCTGCACCCCATGGGAGACCAGGATAAGTACCTGGCTCCTGCCATCGGATCAGCGCGGTGCGCCAGCCACAGCACACTGGCCGTGGCGGCCATTGGAGGGTGAACCAACGGCAAAGGAAGACCTTTCTCTCTGTCTCTCTCTCTCTCACTGTCCACTCTGCCTGTCAAAAAAA